TGGTTGGGATTTAGGATCCCTTCCAACCCAGCCAGTTCCATGGTTTGTATTAAAGCTTCCAAAGGCAGGGAATGTTTTCCTGTCTCTGAAGGCCACGTGCCTGTTGCAGTAATAATTTATGGATTAAATCCATGGCTGCTTCTCCAACCAACTGCCAATGGTGTCTAGAAAACACCACCATCACCTCTGGCCATTGCTGGTGCCCTCTCCAGGTGCTCCCTGGGGCACTGCTGGTCCCAGGCCAGTGGCCCTGTGCCACCCCCCTGTGCCCCCCTTGCTGAGGGATGTCTTTCCCTGCCAGCAGCCAGGCAGGAGCTGGGCACTGACACCGGGGTGACCTCCCTGTGTCCAGAGGACCAAAGTGCCTGGGAAAGCTTTGATTCCCAATTATCAGATATGCAGGGAAGGAAGATGAATTTAGAGCCCCTTTTGATGTGGATCAGCAGCTCCCTGCTCCTGGCTCCTTTAATGTGGAAATTAATGGCTCTGGCTTGTAAATCTTCTTTTTTGCTCCCTATAAAGCCACCTTCTGAGCAAAATGCCATGGATTTAATGTTTTATTATTCTGAGATATTCTGAGGGAAGCAGAGTCAAATGGGGACCTGTTCTGTACCCGGAGTACTTTTGAAATAATTGCAGTAGCATTTAGAGGTGAATGTGAATGGACACAGAACCACAGAATCCAGACTGGTTTGGGCTGGAAGTTCATCCAGTGTCACCCCAGCCATGGCAGGGACACCTCCCACTGTCCCAGGTGCTCCAACCCCAATGTCCATCCTGGCCTGGGACACTGCCAGGGACACCCAGGGACATTTGGGAGGGGCTGGGGACACCCCCCAGCACTGGGGACTGTGCAGAGGTGTCACACACACCTTGTCCTCCCTGCTGCACGAGGGGTGGCCCAGCTCACCTCAGCTCAGACCCCAGATATGTTTTTGGAGAGGACAAGCAGACAAAAAAAACCCCAAATTAAGGAAATCTCCTATTTCTTTCTGCCTCCCTGTGCACACTGGTTTGTTGGGATGGGTGGCTCTCTGTGTCAGCCCTGCTGTCCCTGTCCCTCTGCTGTCACACACGCTGCTGTAGGCAGCACACCCTGCAGGGTTTGGGATTCCAGGATGGAGACAGTCTGCAAAGGGCAGGGCAATGTGATTTCCCTGCTTCCAGTGGAAACCAATCCAGCATTCCCTGGGATTCCCACAGGGGTTACCTGAGCACAGCAGGATCTGTGCAGGAACAAGGGGGAAGAGGATCAGAGAGTCAGGGAATGCTTTAGGTTGGGAAAACCCTCTGAGATCCCAGCCATGAACCCTGCCCTGCCCTGCCCTGGGGACCTTGTGTCCCTAAGGATGTCCCTGGGGGCTCAGGACACCACACCCAGGGCAATAGAGAGCCTGGGAATGTGTTCCACTGAAATGGGGGGTTTGGAGAGGAGATGTGTCCTGGGCACCGGGGGGGGTGTGTGGATAAAGGAGGAGGAGGTGGCAGGAGGAGCTCAGAGCCACAGGCAGAGTTTGGGATTTTGTCGAGTTTTTCACGGGTCTGGGTCTTCAAAGAGACAAGAGCAGTTGTTGGCTGCTGTAAAGTTGTTTATTGCAGGAATGCATCAGTGTGGGAGGCAAAGAGCTCAGAGGGTTCAAGTCTGTGCTGGAGATTTCTGCTGTAGAGTCTGAGCAGCAGCAGCTCCCCAGCATTTCTTCTTCTTCTTCCTCCTCCTCCTTTTCTTCTTCTTCCTCTCTCACCCCAATACAGGAGATTTTATTCATAAATCATCCAATTAACCAAAACCACGACTCTAAAACATTCTTCCTACACCTATCAGAGCTCAATTCTAAAGTACAAAAGTGGTGTCAGTCCTTACACATCATTTACACAAATAGTTTTATTTATTCACATCAATGGTTTTATTTGTTTTTTTTTCTGGAAATACAAGCAATGTTCTGCTACGTTTTTGTTATGTCTGGAGCTAAGTTACTGGACTTTAAACTCGGCTTGGACTTTAAACTCGGCTTTAGGGCTTTTTATCCCTTAAAGTATATTCCCACTTACTTAAAACTAAAGCTTACACTTCTATTTTAAGTCTGTGTGGTTCAATATATTTTAATTTCTCTGAAGGCTTTAATTCAAGCCCTGCATTGTTTTCTCTCTCTGAGGGACTCAGGTTTCTGTTTCACACACCCTGACGGGTTTTCTGCAGCACTTTTGGCTTGCTGTGTTTGTTTATCCCACATTAAAAAGCTCCTTTCCCCTCGCAGATCGTGGCAAGGACCCGAGCAGAGGCTCCTGCCCCCCGACGCTGATCCTGCACACCGAGAGGAAGAGTGTCCCCACGGGCAGTGACAGGGACAAGGTCTGCACAGACCCGGGCCAGGGGCAGCCTCGGGATCCCTCCCTGCAGCGGGTTTGAAATGGATTTCATTTCTCCTGGAGCTGTGCAGGAGCTCTGGCATTGGCACAGGATCGGGGGGACACTCGTGGTTGGCTCCCCGTGGAATCCCAAAGAACTTTGGGATTGAAGGGATCCCAAATCCCCCCCATCCCACCCCTGCCATGGCAGGGACACCTCCCACTGTCCCAATGTCCAACCTGGCCTTGGGCACTGCCAGGGATCCAGGGGCAGCCACAGCAAAGCTGGGAATTCCATCCCCACCCTGCCAGGGAACAATTCCTGCCCCAAATTCCATCCAAATTTATCCACTTTCAGCTTAAAGCCATTCCCTGTGTCCTGTCCCTCCATCCCTTGTCCCCAGTCCCTCTCCAGCTCTCCTGGAGCCCCTTTAGGCTCTGCCAGGGGCTCTGAGCTCTCCCTGGATCCTTCTCCTCTCCAGGTGAGCACCCCCAGGTGTCCCAGCCTGGCTCCAGGGCAGACTCCAGCTCTGGGATCATTTGGTGCCTCCTCCAGGCTCCCTCCAGCCCCTCTGAACATTTTTTTTTGGCTGTGTGGTGGGGACAGAGGGACAGCCTGGGGACAATCGGTCTGTGCAGAGCTGCTGGCAGGGGCAGTGCTGGCACAGGGCACCCCTGGGCTCATTCCTGTCGTGGCTGGTGCCACCCTCGGGGTTTGCCCTCATCCCACCCCCACGGGAGCTCTCGGTGTGGCCAGAAGGTGGTGGCTGATTTTCCACTCACGCTGCTCTCCGTGGGGAGGCATTGCAGGAACAGAGGACTTTGGAACAGCTAATGGATGTGATTAAGCAGAAGCCACTTGATTGTTTACTTTATGCCTGACTTACACATTTTTAAACTACTGTCTGTGTGACCCCACATGATTGGTGCCTTTATTTTGTCCTCACACTTTGCAGGAAATGTGATTGGTCACAGTCCAGTGCTTCACCACCCACCTTTATTTGAGTTCTTGCCAACTTGCTATTCTCTTTTTCAGTTTCTTTTTCCCCAATTTTGCACAATTTATGTTTCAGTAGCCCTGACAAATTCCAGAGTGTTTGACAAGAATACCCAAAATTGGCTTGGCTGGTGCACCTGGTATAAACTGTGACCTAGGCTGTTCTACAGAGGCATTTTTATAATTCCAATTCATAATTCCCATTCACCTGTGCTGTTCCATGCTTTATGGGTGTCCCTAAAGCCTCTCCTGGAATTCTGGGGTGATTTGACACCAGGACAGCTCTGTGCACCTGCTTTATTTGCTGTCCCCCCTCTGTGTTTCTCCAGGATCCCTCCTTCAAGCTCCTGAGCGAGGCTGATGGTGCTGCCAAGGGGAACAAGCCCGTGGCATCCACCCCAGTGCCAGGATCCCCGTGGTGAGCAGCTGCCAGGACCCTTCCCCAATGCCATCCCCTTCCCAAAATGTTTTCCTGGGCTGGATCCCTGTGGTGTGGAGCTGCCAGGACCTTTCCCAATCCCATCCCCTACCCAAAGTGTTTTCCTGGGCTTGGGACTGTTCCTGCCCATCCCCACAGTGCTGGGGGAGAACAGAGCTTCCCACAGTCCCACAACTCTTCCATTGTATTCCTGGTCTCTGGCCGGGCTGGGGTCCCTGGGGTGTCCCTGGGCTGTCCCTGGGCTGTCACCCAGGGCGCAGTCCTGGTCTCTGGCCAGGCTCGGGTCCCTGGGGTGTCCCTGGGCTGTCCCTGGGGTGTCACCCAGGGCGCACTCCTGGTCTCTGGCCGGGCTCTAAGGCAGGTTTGTCGCTTGGAGCAGGTGTGTGGTCTGGACTGGAGATGACCGCGTGTTCTTCTTCAACCCCACCATGCAGCTGTCAGTGTGGGAGCGGCCGCTGGACCTGCGGCACCGCGGGGACATCAAGCGGCTGCTCGAGGACCCCCCGCACAAACGCAAGCTGGAGGCGGCAGCAAGTAACCAAAGCTGGCATTGTCCCCTGTCCCTAAAGCCCAGCAGCCCCCGGGAGATGGAGCTGGGAGAGCTGGGATGTACTGGGAGAGCTGGGATGTACTGGGAGTGCTGGGAGAGCTGGGTGTTCTGGTTGTGGTGTGCTGGGATGTACTGGGAGTGCTGGGATGTACTGGGAGTGCTGGGAGTGCTGGCTGGATGTTTGAGACCTGGGATTACAGTGGGGAGATTCCCAGTGAAGGGAGAATCGATGTTTGCTGTAAAATCCTTGTTTTGGTTGGAATGCTGAGCTGGAGGATTGAGCCCCCAGGGGGTTCCTGACAGTGAATTCATAATTCAACCAGGAGGATTCTGGCAGGGAATTCAGGATTCAGCCAGGAGGATTCTGGCAGGGAATTCAGGATTCAGCCAGGAGGATTCTGGCAGTGAATTCAGGGTTCAACCAGGAGGATTCTGGCAGGGAATTCAGGGTTCAACCAGGAGGATTCTGGCAGGGAATTCAGGGTCCAACCAGGAGGATTCTGGCAGGGAATTCAGGATTCAGCCAGGAGGATTCTGGCAGGGAATTCAGAATTCAACCAGGAGGATTCTGGCAGGGAATTCAGGATTCAGCCAGGAGGATTGTGGCAGTGAATTCAGGGTTCAACCAGGAGGATTGTGGCAGGGAATTCAGGATTCAGCCAGGAGGATTGTGGCAGGGAATTCAGGGTCCAACCAGGAGGATTCTGGCAGGGAATTCAGGGTTCAACCAGGAGGATTGTGGCAGGGATTCCCAGAGGAGATGAAGCTTTGATGGGTGCAGTCCCTGTCAGGAGGCACAGGGTGTTTTATTGGCTGTCGTTAGGAATCCATCAGCTGCTCCCAGAGCACACCCTGCACGGCCAGGGATCAGCAGCAGGGAATCTCCAGTGGGCACGGAGAGATCCCCAGCCTTTACTGGGAGTGTGTCCCTTGCTGGGACAGCCATGGCAGTCACTGAACTGCTCCTGGCTGGAATTGGTGAATGTTGTGGTTTTGGTGTGAAGGAAGGGGCACCATCCTTCAGCTGCTGCTTGTTCCTCACTGGGGAGGGAGGAGAGTGGAGGGGGAAAGAAGTGAAATTTCTGTGGTTGTTCCCAGGGCTGTGTTTTGTACCTGAATTGAGGTGGGGGCACTGCCAGGACCTGCCCCGTGTCCCCAGGCCAGCAGGGATGGGCACGGGCTTTGATCCAGGGGGAGAGCTGCCAGTGAACCCCTGCAAATCCCAATTAACCACTGCAACCCCTAATTAACCACTGCAGACCCCAAAGAACCACTGCAAACCCATAATTAATCACTGCAAACCCTAATTACCCACTGCAAACCCCAAAGACCGTGCAGCCCCGTGCCTGCAGGGAGATAAAATGAGCCATTATCAGCTTTTCTGCTCACAGAAAAGCAGCTCCAAGGAGGCTTCTCTGCCTGTGCCCTCCTGTAATTCCATTTTTCTCTCGGAATTTCCATAGCTGGTGCTTGGATTTGTATTTCTGTGTCATTTGAAGAACTTTAGCTGTAGTGGGTGTAATTCCTGCAAAGCCTCTCTGCTGAAATTCATTCTTCAGGGGGAAAACAGAGCTTTTTTTTTTTTTTTTTTGTACAGGGTGTATTGAGAGCTCAGTGAATTCCTGCCAAGGGATGGCCAAAGACAAAGCTGAGGGTCGTTCTTCATGGTCTTTATCATTGTTCCTGCTCTGTAATTAATTAACAGAAAAGACTCGAGTCAGGGCTCATAGGTGCCACTTCAAAAATCTATTTTTTTTTCCTCAGTTCCATCCTTTTCATTTGTTATCTCTACCACAAAGATTTGATTCATGCTGCTGGTTTTTTATGGCCATGACTTTCATTGTTATTAAATAGTCTTAATCTTCCCTGCTGTAATTGGGCCTTGTGGCTGCTTAGGGTTGGAGCAGCTAATAATTAGTATAGATTAGCTCTGAGGTGAAGGGGATTATTTGTTACCTCTTCTCTGAGCTTGTAATCTCCAGTAAATAAATAACACAAACGAGCTGAGTGTTCCCAACAATGCTTCCCACCTTTATTTAACTGAGTGGCTGCTGCTGAGTTTTAATTAGAGGTTTTTCAAATCAAACATCTTAAAAATAAAGAAGATGTCGAGTGAAGCTGTCCACGGGATGCTCTGGGTTGTCTCTGCTGAAGGATGGAGTTGTTTTTAAATTTGGGCATAAATGAAGAATTGCTCATTTCTCAATTGCTCCTCCTCCTCCTCCTGGTTTGTCCCAGGAGGTTGATGTGGCTCTTCCCTGATGGATTCCACCCCATGGGGTTGGAGAGGAGGGGCAGCTCCTGTTTATTTATTTTCTGTTTAATTGATCTGCTGTGATCTCGTCCTGTAGCTGCCCAAGGGCCTGTCTGGGTGCTCAGGCTCTGGAAGTTTTTCCAGCTAATTAATAGAAAATGGAGATTATGGAATCATCAAATCATGGAAGGGTTGGGTTGAAGGGACCCCAAATCCCACCCAGTGCCAAGGCAGGGACACCTTCCCCTGTCCCAGGTGCTCCAGTCCTGGCCCTGGGCACGGTTGGTAGAATTCCTCCTGAAAAGCAATCATTTCCTGAATCCCCCCAGATCTTTTGGACCCTTTGGCACTCAGACAAGTCTGAAGCCATCCCTGGGAAGAGCCCAGGAGCATTTCCCAGACAGCCCATGTGCAGGGATGTCACTTCTGCTGTCCTTGGGGCTTCTGGTGACAACTGCAGCTGGTGGAGGGGAAGAGAAAACATTTGAGAATTCAGGCTTTGCTCCCTTGTCTGTGACTGAAAATCCAAGCTCTGAGTCCCCCCAGGAGCCGTGTCCAGCCCAGGGCAGGGCTGAGCTGGCCTTGGAGCTGCTCTGGAGGTTGTGGGATCTCCCCAACCCTGCAGCAATTCCTGGGAGAGAACCCCAAGGTTGGCTGATCCCAAGAGGGGAAATGGGAAAAGCTCTGGTGGGAATTTCCTCCAGAAATGATTCTGCAGGAATGTCCTGAGTTAAATTTTGAAGGGAAGGGAGGATCAGGTGAAACAATCATAAGATTTAAAGCAATCATGTCATGAATGAAAAATGAGGAATTTTGCTGGCTGGAAATGGTCACTTCATTGCTGTCACTTCCATTTGGATGAAGGCAATTCTGAGGATTTTAGAAATTTTTTTTTTTATTTTAAAAACCCTCTGTGGGGGTGAAAGCCAGGAAATACCTGAGCAGCAGAGACAAGGGAAGAGAAGTCACTTTGAGGAATTTGTGTTCCCATTTCTCTCGTTCAAATCTGATCAATATTTACTTCTTTTCAGCAGACAAATGTGTGAGCTCTTGTCCAGGGGATGAAAATGATGACCTGAGCATCAAAACAAAGAGAAATAAGTAAGTTCTAAAGTTTACTTCTCTGTATTTAATGGTGGGAAGGGTCGGTGTGGTAGTTTGTAAAGGTTTTTTGAAATTTTTATTTGTTAAGATTTGGGTAATTACTTACTACCAACTGACTGAGTTGTTTCCTGTACATTTTCAATGTGAAAGAAAAAAAAGTGTGTAAGAGAAGGAAAAATAGTCTAAAGTTTTATCCTAAGGTTTTTTTTTTCCTTAAAGTTTCTAGTAATAAAATTTCTCTTTGTACCATTTAAAGTTAACCCTGTTTTACCTCCCTCCTAATCCTATCTCACAACATAAAAATTTCAAATTAGTGAACCAAAATCACTACATTAATTGGTGTTTCCCCCCAGTTTCGAGCTGAAACCAGGACATCCTGTGCAAAGAAGGTTAAATGCAGTTTTTATTCTTGTGAGTAAAGGATGGGAGCCATTCTCCAGGTGTCCAGGATTCTCTGTAGCTTCTGTTCCCCATGGACATCACCCATTTGTGTCTGGGGAATTCTTCTTTTATGAAATGCTTCCAAACAAAGCTGCCAGGCTGTGAGTTATCTCAAAAAAAAAAAAAAAAAATAAAAGTTTTCCCTGTCTGAAGTGCAGCGTTTTTTTCCTGCTCTCAGGTTTGCAGGCTCAGAACCAGCCCCGACTGCTGCTGGTACTGATCTTTGTTACCTTTATTGCCTTTATTACCTTTATCACCTTTATTGCCTTTATTACCTTTATTAATGCTTCACATTCTCCTGAAGTCAGGACTGAAAAAGCAATTCTGAGGTGTGCACACTGCCCAGATCCATGGCAGGGTCCTTCCCAGCGTGCAGGCACAGGGTTTGTGTGGATTCTTACAGATGTGCTGAACTGGATCCTTTATTGCAGTTCTTGGCATGGACAAAGATCCTTTAAGGTGGCCCCTCCTTGGTCACTTTGCTGTGCCTGGAATTTCGGTGTCAGATCCCTGTGCTGGCCCTGAGTGACTGTCCTGCCTCAGCAGGACCCCTGCAGGTGCCAGCAGCCCCAGGTCTGGTAGCCAGCTGCAGCTTTTTGGGAAATGCCCATCCCTGAGCAGCCAGTGGCTCCAGGCTGGGCAGCTCCTGGGGCATCCCAGGGAGGATGGAAAGGGTGGAAAGGATGAAAAGGATGAAAAAAAAATGGAGAGGATGGAGAGGGTGGGAAGGATGGAAAGGATGGGAAGGATGGAAAGGATGAAAAAAAAT